CACAAGAGTCGTGGTGTGGCGCTGTAGGATAAGTCATTGGGGGCACAGGCATTTAGCAAAGATGTTAGAATTCAGGGATAAGAATCTCGGGTTCTGGATTAGGCAACCTGCATGAGGGATCTCTGAGCCCAAGAATGGGACCAGTACACCCAGTACCTGACCCTAGAGAGCCAGCCCTCAGCCCCAGCCCCACACCTCTCCTCACCTCCCTCTCCTCTCCGCCTTGCCTTGTCCCTTCAATCACCTGCTTCCCACTGTCTCTCACCTAAGACCAGGACCAGCAGGACCAGCAGCAGGCCTGGGGTCTCTGGAACCATGGTGACTTGCTCATGTGAGGCATGGTGATAGTGGTGGTTATGTGCTGTGGCGTTGGTTCCAACTCATAGTGACTCTGTACAGGGTTTCCAAGGCTGTAAATCTTTACATGAACAGAAAGCCACATCTTTCTCCCACGGAAAGATGAGGAGTGTGAGGAGAGGAAGTATGGAATGATTCTGACTGGTGGAAAAATGGAGAAAGGAAAAGACCTAGATTGGATTTGTTAGAGGCCCGTGGGGTGGGTTCTCTGGGCAGAGGGGTGGTCAGGGTCATGGTAGGGGTATGTTCCAGCTTCTGGGAGAGTCTCTGGTCTGCAAGGGTCTCAGCCGTACTTCCATCTGGCTCCCTAGCTCCACCCAAACTGGCATTTGCTGTCTCTTTTTTGTGCTGCATCCTTGCAGAACCCTTGGGAATGGGAAGATGGAGGATGGAAGGTGGGTTGAACGCAGTTGAGGTTGTTGCAGACCGCAGGTACTGGGATGTTGAGGACCGTTATAATGGATGAAAATCCAGCATGTGGCCACACTCAGACTTGCTGGCCAGAGACCCTGAGGGCTCAAGGAAGTAACCTCCGGACGTCCCGGGTTCATTGGCTTTTACAAACTCACTGTTGGGCTAGCTCTTTAAAATTCTCTTTAGTCCTATTAATTCATGCTATGCTTCAAACTCCTGTAATTGTAGGTTCTGAGAAAATGGTTTTTTATTGTCAGGGTCTGACCTCAACATAGGGGTGCGGTTCACGAGGATTTGGTTCACGAGGAGGGGAGATCCAGCAGCGATAGGGATAGCAAAAGAATACACAGACAAACAGAAGAAGGGAGACAATGAGGCACCCCAAAGCCAGGGTGGATACATCACTGGTGGGCACACTTGGGACTACAGGCATCATGGCCTCTGCAGGCAGCAACTCACTGCCCTGCAATCTTTACTGCATGTCTTCCAACCCGTAATGCACTGCTATCTTTACTCCATGCCTTCCAACCAGTAATGCACACCTGGGGAGGCTCGGGCCTCTGCTTTATTCAGGGGAGGAGCTTCACACCAAGCTGGGAGGGACCAAGGCAAGGTACAGCAAACATCAGTACTTTTCCAGACATTCAGGTAATTTTACATCATACTTCGCTGGTTTGAATCCCAGGCCAGCAACTTGGTTTCTCAGGCCCAATTAACATATCTATAGCCCCTGAGCACAGTTGGGGGAAGGTGAGTTCTGCAGGAGAAGCCCAGGTGAATGGGCTGCATCTGGAAAAGGGATTAGGGAGGATGGGTTCTTTGTCTATAGAACAAAGAACCGAGAAGTAGCTAAGATATTTTTAGTTAATCCTTTGGAGAAAGGTTTAACCTTGCAACCTTTAGTCTCGGCTTTAGGAAAATATCACATTTATTTGTGGATTTTCAAAGGCTCCGTGTATTAATTTAATATATATAACTGAATATTAAGATGAAAGCAATTTGCCATTAACTGCCAGTGGCCTCATTTGTTACAGTCGGGCCTATAGGGCCTCGAACCTCTGACCAGTCTTACACGGTCCGCAACGTCTTATGTGCCTCTCTCAGTGTCTCCACTGTATTGATAGTGCTTAAGGTGTTCTGGGAACAAATCTCTCTGAGGAACAAACTCTGGCCACTGGGCAAGCTCATCCAAACTGTTCTTTATCAAATTATTCAGTTATGTTTGATATTAACTTAATACATGAGCCCTTGATACTCATGGACAAATATTAAACTGCTCCTAAAGCCAAGACTGTAAAAAACTCCAAAAACAAGTTTGCTGGGAAGCTCTGGAGACAAGTTTCCTCCAAGGAATTAACTCAGAAGTAGATTGGCAAATTCTGGGGTTTTGTCTAAAGAATAATAAGTGCCAGCCTTCCTGGATCGCCCCCAGGTGCAAACCACTAAGCTAGGTGTCTTGCTTCCTCCTGCAAGTCTCGGCCAGGCAGCTGACACAGCAGGACTCCTCCCAATCCTTTTCACCTTTTTCCCATTCGAGATTAGGTGCTATAGGTGTGTATGTTAATTAGCCTGGAGAAACCGAGTTGCTACCCTGGGATTCGAACCTGAAAAGTACTGTATAAATTTGCTTGAATTTCTGGAAAATTAAGGATGTTAGATTATCAAGACAATTTGTGATGTATGTTTTAGAATTTGATTCCTGTAAATCATTGTGTCCTGTTTTGAACGATTAATCGCATTTCACTTCTGTACCCCGTCTTAATAAACCCTGCCTTCCTTTGTGTAAAGCTCCTTCCCGAAATAAAACGGAGGCGCAGACCGAAGCCTGCATGCATTACAGCTGGCAAGGCATGCATTGCGGCTTGCAGTACAGGCAGGCATTGCAGTTGGCAAGGTGTGCAAATGGCATGCATAGGCAAAATGTTTACAATGCAGAATCTGTCTGACACCAGTGTCGCATCCACTCTGGTCTCGGGGTGTCTTCTTGTCTCTCTTGTTGTGTCTTTGTGTGTACTTTTACTCTATCTCTGTCGCCGCCAGATCTCCCTCCTTCGTGAACCAAACTCTCGTGTCGAGGCCAGTTGTCGACATGAGGTCTCAGGGAGCATCTGTTCCTCAGGGAGAACATGGCCTCATGGCCAGGTTTGTGCATGACTGAAATGGGTCTCAGTTCTCTCCTTCATGAAAAAGAAAAACAATCCCTCCCTCACAAACCTATTGTGAGAAGTAAGTGATAATGTGTGTGGACACGATTGTTTGAGTGAGTGGTAGCCTTGCTCCCTAAATTTACCTCCAATCCACACTATGGCAGTGGGTTTTGTCCCAACTCCTGCTCCCTTGAGCAATAGTATCCCATACCCATACCATCTTTGTTTGTCCCCTTATCCTTTCTTATCTTACTCCTGCTGCAAGGAGGAGACCCAGCCCTGCAGCTGATGAAGAACAGGAATCCAGGACTGAGCAAAGTTGTTGTTGTTGTTAAGTGCCGTTGAGTCGATTCCGACCCATAGCGACCCTGTACAGGGTTTCCGAGGGTGTAAATCTTTATGGGAGTAGAAAGCCTCATCTTTCTCCCGCGGAGCAGTTGGTAGTTTCAAACCGCTTACCTTAAGGTTCGCAGCCCGATTTGTAACCACTATGCTACCCGAGCTCCTTAGAAGACTTAAAAAAATCAGGGTCTAGGTTCAAATTCCTATCCTACCCTACTCTGAACGCACTGAGAGTTCCCTGTAGTCATCAAAGTTCATCAAATGAAGCTCGTAGCAGAGCCTATCCCCGACTTCTGGTGATTCAGGCATAATGGCAGCCTGGCCTTGTGGTGGCCATTAGGCAGCAGAGTCCCCAGTGGCTGCAGCTTGTACACAGCCACTAAAAACCAATGTTGCCATGGAGTGTATTTGACTCCTGGTGATCCCTTGTCTTTCTTAGTAGAACTGTGCGCCATAAAGTTTTCAATGGCTGTAATCTTTAAAGCAGCTACAAATGGTTAAGCACTTGACTATCCGGTGACAGGTTGGTGGTTCCACTTGACATCAACTAACAACATCTTATGGAAGTAAATTGCCAGGCCTTTCTTGCATGGCACCACTGGATAGATCTGAAGTGCCAACCTTTTGGTTAGTAGCTGAGTTCAAACCATGTGCCCCACACACAGTCACACCACCATCCGAATCCCTCTCCCTTTCTCTTCTTCTCCTCTTCCTTCTCTCTCTCTGTAAATTACAACTTTTTAAAGTTAAACCTTCACTACAGAAATAGATGTTAAATTCCTTCTATTTACATACTAGTACAAACACAGTTCTCAAGTGCCCATAGGCACTAAGAGTTGGGAATCCAGAGAGGATGCTGGGTCCCGGCCCTGATGCTCCCTTCTCCCCTCCCCTCCTCCTGAACCCATCCATCTTCTCTTGACAATCTCTGCCCTCTTTGCTCTTGGCCTTCCTTTCCCTGTCACTGTCTGCATCCCTGTCCCTGGAGATGAATCTCTGCCTCCTTCCTTCTCCCCTCTCCAGCATCCACAAAACCTGCCAGGGTAGAAGCATGACACTGACCCACCAAGCAGGCCTGGACATAAAGTCTCTGACGAGACCTCTAAGATCCGTTCTGATCTTGACCCACCTTCAGCTTGACCTTGGTGGTGGTGGGTGAGGGGAGATTGGGGAGGAAGCTAGGACCCTGCAGAATAGAGGCACTCATGGAGTGAGAGAAAGAGGCAAAACTGCCATTAGTGACCACAGTTTTCTCTGGCTTTCTCAGCATCTCCCGTGTGGGGAGGACAGGGTGGGGCAGGGCAGCTGGGCATGGGGAGAAGCCAGAGTCCACCTAAAGCCTCATTCCCACCCTCCCCTCCCTGCCCCGCTGCCCCGGCCAAGGACTTGACGTTTCTCATCTTTTTTGCTATCTCAGGGGTGCCCAGGAAGGAACTAGACAGAATCAGGCCCAATTCCTGACTTCCTGTGGCCATCAGCTCACAGAGAAAGGGTCGTATGGCCTTGAGACCCACTCCCACTACTGTTCTCAGGTGAGGGGAGACATGGGCAAAGGGAGGGGTGGGGAAGGTATGTGGTGACCCTGACCACAGCTTTTCTCCAGGCTCCAGGACCATCAGTAAGGTTGAGGAGCTCCAGCGTGTGGCCGGGCAGACAGTCTCTGTGAAATGCAAGTATCCCCCCTCGAGGGCTGCCTATGAGAGGAAAGGCTAGTATAAGGAGGTGTCTTTTTACCAGTGCATGAAATCAGTCTCCAGATCTCAGCCCTGGACACTGACTCAGAACTTGCGATTCACAATCTGGGACAACCGTAATGCTGGCTTCTTCACTGTCACCATGATTGGTTTGAGGGAGGAGGATTCAGGACACTACTGATGTAGAACCTACCATGCTTCCAGAGACGCCATCTTACAGTCCAAGAAGTTTTATCTTTCAGTATCTACAGGTGAGCCCCTTCCTGGCTGCTCTGTGGGGTGGGAAGGCTGGGAAAAGAAGGCCTTTCCCTGATTGTGGAAGTCAGGCCCCCTGAGTTCTGAGAAGGATGTGGGGCACATTCCCAGGGTACTCACATCTGTGCACACATGCAACCATTTCCCACATGACTGGGCTCCTGCAGTCAGTGACTTGCTCAGAGAGAAGCTCAGAGACAGCAGTTGTGTGTGCTGACCAGCCTGAGCCTGGGGACCCAGGGCTGTCTGGCATTTTGGAGAAGGCAGTCATATCTGACACAGTGAGTGTGCAGTAACTGTGTGTCAGTGGGCTGTAACCCATGCCTGCTGTGTGGAGCTAGTGACCCTAGTGGACTGTTGGTATCTGGGTGAGGGTCTGCCCCATCCTTCATTCACAATGAAGTTCAGAATGGTTCTTAGGTTCTTAAATGATGGGATGTGTGTGTTTGAATAATCAAAAGAAAAATAGCATTTCATGCTATGTGAAAATTGCCAAAAATTAAAATGTCAGTGTCCATAAATAAAGGTTGATTAGAACCCTGTCATGTGCATTCATTCACCAATTTTAAAGATATTTTGTATATAAATGCCCCCTTGCTTTGACTGAGTATTTTCATCAGTAGCCAGTACATCTCCTTAAGTAATTCACTGGATTTTAGTATTTTACTATTAATGTTAGCTACAAAACTTATACTATATGAGTGAATTTGCTTTCTTTTGTTACTGCAACAAATTACCACAAATTTAGTGTCTTCAAACAACACAAATTTATTCTCATACAGTTCTGTAGGTCTGAAATCTTGTAAGGTGCTTGGAAGATAAAAATCGCTTGAGGTGTTGGCAGCCTGTGTCCCTTACTGCAGACTCTAAGGAAGAATCCATTCCCTGCTCATTCAGGCTGATGTCGGAACCCAGCTTTATAGGAGCAAGATCCTGTTTTCTTACTGGCTGCCAACTGTGGGACATTCCCAGTTCCCTGTGGTTGTTAAGTGCAGTGGAGCCGGTCCCGACCTTGCAGTCAAGTGTTTATCCTACAGTGCCACAGTTGTTGTTTCATGCTCCCAAGTCAGTTCCGACTCATAGCAACTCCAAGGAGCAGCTGGTGAATTTGAACCACTGACCTTATTATGGTTCTAACCGGTCTTGCAGTTGAATGCTTATCCTACAGGTCCACACCAGGACTCTTCCACTAGAGGTCCCCATAGTCCTTGTCTCACGGTGTCCTTCCTCCATCTTCAAAGCCAGGAACAGCCGGTTAGGTTGCATGTCTTTTTGTACACAGCCAGGGAAGGTTCTCTGCTTTTAAAGATTCATGGGATTAGATTAAACCCACCTCGATACTCAGAGTACTAACCCTGGATCATACAAGGGTTAAGCGTTTAGCCATTAACTAAAAGGTTGGCAGTTGGAACCTGTCCAGCAGCTCTGCAGGAGAAAAATCTGGTGATCTGCTTCTATAAAGATTACAATGTAGGAAAACCTGTGGGGCAGTTTTACTGAGTCATCTTGGGTTGTTATGAGTCAGAATCTACTCGATGGCACACAGCAACAACTCGATGTGGGTGGATTACAAGCAATTCAAGGACCAGCACTAGTACATTGTTCACACATTTGAGTATTACTGGTCTAGAATGTCCCCCGAGTGCCAGGAACTGTTCCTAGTTGAGTATAGGGATTATCCCTGGCCAGCATTCCAGGCAAAGTCCTGGTGTGGCGCTGTAGGATAAGCACTCAATCATAAGGCTGATTTGAACCGCAGGATTAGCATTGCAAACTTATCAGCAGAAACCCTACACTGGGTCACTGTGAGTTGGAAACAACTCAACGGCACTTCACAACAACAACATCAAACACTCCAGGCAGTCACACAGAGAGCATTCTTGTAGGACACAGTCATGTCTACGTGCCCTTCCAGGCTGGCCCCTGGACCTCAGATGTTCCACTCTCAAGGCTCACCCCTTCAAACCTCTCTCCCAGACCTCCTTTCTTCTTTCCCCAAGCTCTGAGAGAGACCCGTCCCCTCTTAAACCCCACACTGGGTGTTCAGATCTTGAGAGCTATTTCCTTGCACAACCTTAGGATGGACCCCATTTTATTTCCCATTTGCCCCCTACCCAGACACTCACGGTCTTTTCTTTATCCTTCAGCTCCCAGCAAGACCTCCTCCAGGTCTCCACCCAGGGTCCTGAGCACAGGTAAATCTGGAGTCTTACTGGGAAAATGGTGCTGTGGGGATGGTGGGAAGGTAGTTCATAGTCTCAGAATCAAGAAGGGGCCCCAGAAAGGCATTTCCCAGGGTGCTGAGGTAGTAGGGTCTACAGGAGGGCTCCAGGATTCTACTCAGAACCAGGAGAGGCAGGACCAGCAGTCCTTAAAATTTACCAGGAGAGGCCTTCTCCCTCAAACAGCCTTAACCCTAACCTCCCCACTCCCTCCCCCCAAAACAAAACCCAGTGCCATCTTGTCGAGTTGATTCTGGAGTGACTGGTGGGTTTGACTGTAGTTAGCAATCTACCTCCACCTAGCTCATTCACCTCCAGAGTTTCTCCCAAACAGCCCTAGGGGTAGAGAGAAGGGAACTTACAAACATCAGAAACGAGAGAGGGGTAAAGATCAGACTGTTTCCATACTGAGATACAGAGAAGACTGGTCCAGTGATGAAGAATTACTTGGAGGGAGACACAGTCTCCTGGACGAGGTACCACCTCCACAGGTACCACTGTAGAGGCCTGGTCACAGGTATGTCCAGTTCTGAAGCTGGGATTTCACAATCCAGTCCTCACCTCCCCTGTCTGCTTTCTCCTCCGAGGCAACTGCTCCCAGTCCAGCCTACCTCCCAATTGCGGCTTTCCTACAGACGCTAACCAGGTCCTTTCTCTCTCCCTGGCAGCCTCTACCAGGGCTACTTGTAACCGGGTCTCAGCACAGACCCCGGGTAGTTTGGTCCCCATTGGAAGAGCCAACACCACTGTCCCTTCACAGTGAGTCTAGGAGGGACCTGCATCCACAAGGTCCTGGCTCAGAAACCTAAGCAGAGACAGTCACCTTAGCCCCATCTTTGTTCCTTCTTCTCCTTCCTCCCTCCAGGCAACAGAACTCCAACCTCAGTTCCGGTGTCCTGGGCTCCATGCTATGTGGAATCCTCTCAGCTGCCCTGCTTATTCTGTGAATGGGTTTGGGTTGGGCTGAGGGTAAAATGGAGTAGAGAACAAAGGAGGGAAAAATCAGAATTGACAAGATTCTCTAGACAGACCCTCACTGATCCTATCCACCATAAATGTCCACAGACATTACAGACTCACTTCTGTCTGCCAGTGCAAACTCTTTCACCTTGTCCATGTCCAGCCACAGCTGCTGGGGTTCCCTGGTTTAAGAACAGAGCTTCAGGCATCCTTAGTGACAGGAAGAACTCCGCATCTCTTTGTCTGCCGTCTCTGCCCCTTCCCCTATTCTCCCCTTCCATCTTTTTCTTCGAATCCTTCTTCTTCATCTCTTCTTTCTTCTCTTTCTATTCCTCTTCCTTTCTTCTTCTGCTTCTCTCCTCACTATCCTCTTTCTCCTTTCATATTCCTTCTGGTTTTTTTCTCCTCCTTCTCTCTCACTCACTCATCCCTCCAGTAGTAACATGGACCTGTACAACCAGAATTTTCCTCCTATCACCTGTCCCTCTGGGAATGCCCATGTCCAGAGATTTCCTAAAGCCCTCGTCCCAGGGTTCCACCACTTCATCCTAAATCTTGAAGGAGAGAGGATGGAAACAGTAGGAAACAGATTACTAACTCTGGGATTAAGGAACATATGAGGGACCATTTCAGTGGGATGAAATGAAAGATGTAAGGGCAACATAAGCAGTGAAGAGCATCCGAAATAAGCTGGAGTCAGGTGAGAAGCAGGTGGCTAGAGAAGGGACAGGCTGTGGGGAAGATAGAACAGGGTCAGAGTGACTCGTGTGTGTCTTCCTCCTCTTCACATCTCAGGATCTTGAGGAATCGACATGTGCAACACAAATGGGAGTCTCTGATGCACCCAACTCAGCCCAGGCCACAGACCTGCCCACTGAGCCACAAAACCCAAGGTAAGTGTCCAGTCTCCCCTGGCCTCCAAGGAGCTCCTCCATGACCTCTGAATTCTGTATTTCCTGCAAAGAAAAGGCCAAAGTCTCTCAGAACTCGACAGCCGAGGGTCCAGAGTGGAGAACTTCTCAGCTGGCATCTTTGGCTTCCTCCCAAGACCCAGACCCACTGCTGGCTCACATTGTTTGCATTTGGGTCAGTCCCATCCAATTCTGGGGGCCAAAGGTTTAACATCTCTACTCTGGAGAGCAAGTTTCAGAGTCTCTTCTGACATCCATTTTGATCTATTCCTTCCTTGTTATCTTCTTAATGACCTTTTGCTTTCTTCCTGTATGATGTTCCTGATATCATCCCACAACTCATCTTGTCTTCAGTCTTTAGTGTCTAATGAATGCATCAACTCTGTTCTTCATATGATCTCTAAATTCAGGTGAGATATGTTCAAGGTCACATTTTGGCATCCCTCTGATGAAGATGAACCACACACTCAATGAGGTGTTTCCTGGGAATATTTAGCAATGTCTTGGACAATGCCCCCAGGTATAATTTTAGGTTAATCTCATTGAGTGTGAGCAAAGGAGATAATGGTTTTACTGACAATGGATCAGCGCCACCCCTCCCACCTGAAGGGATTATTCTATCTTTGCTGATCCATTGTCAGTAAAACCATTTGGCAGAATTTAGTGGCTCAGTGTCCCCAGCTTCCCGATGTGCCAATCTTGCTTGCCTTCTGCTGGTCTAGATCTTGCATCTGGTGCACCTAACCTCTAGTTCTTGACCCACTCTACTGCCTACCTGCATGCTTGCCTTCTGACCTGCTGATCATGGTTCATCTGATCTGGACTTGAGACTCTCCCAGCTCTACAACTATGTGAGCTATAGCTTTGATATTAATGTCTCTTTATCTACATATATAAGTTTCACTGGGTTTGCTTCACTAGAGGACCCAGCCTAAGACAGCAGGTAATAGAGCAGGTCAATGACTTGAGTCACCCTGAAAAGAACAAACAAGCTTTGTCTGAGTGTCAAATATATTGGAAGCAGACCACATCCATGAGGAAACTTCTTTTCATTTGACAGGCTACTCATAGCAGACCACATTGTAGTTTATTGCATTATGTTAGATCTCATCATGGGGATTACCACATCTCAACTGCCAAACCACTGAGAATCCTGCTCTAGTCAAGTTGACACAAAACTTTAACTATCACAGCCTCTGACTGTCTTCTTTGATGTCTGTTCATTTTTAAATTGGATTGTCTTCTTGCTTAGGTGTTGGAGTATTCAATAAATTTTACAGAGTAGTCTCTTGTCTTATACATTATTGTCAAAGTATATTTCTCAATCTGTGGACTCTTGTCTTATTCTTATGTTGAAATCTTTTCATCCACATGTAGTTGTTGTTTCTAAGTGCTGTTAAGTTGGTTCAGATTCATATGTAAGCATTTCTGAGGAACAACTGGTGGGTTTAAACAGCTGACCTTGTAGTTAGCAGTACAATGCTTATCCTACAGCGCCACATCTGATGTCTAATTTTTAGGAGGTTCTAGTCATTAGATTGTCTGTAATAGGATAATACGCATACACTTACAAGGAAGACCAGATAATACCACTATTATTCAAATTTACAAACCAACCACTATAGTCAGTGATGATGAACCTGAAGAATTCTACCAAAGATTTTTGTCTAAAATTAATCAAACATGTAATCAAGGTGTATTGATAATTACTGGTGATTAGAATGCAAAGGTTGGAAACAAAGTGCAAGGGTCAATAGTTGGAAAACATTGCCTTGGTGATAGAACTGATGCTGGAGATTACAAGATAGAATTTAGCAAAACTACTGGCTTATTCATTGAAAATACCTTTTTTTTTTAAGTTTTTATTGGGAATTGAGTGATAGTTTACATGGGGAAACATCAATTTTACACTCATCGTTTCATTGCAATGATTACAACAATCTCCTCTGTGCATCATCGTTCAACAGTATTTGCTTCAATTCCCTCTGTTTGTTTGATTTTTTTGTTTTAGGGGGTGGGATGTACACAAAAACACTCAGGAATATATAATCATTTAAACAACCAAAGAACACATTCTGAAAGCCTGCCTCCTGGCCACCAGCACCTGGCTACCAGCACACAGCCTTTCTCTTTCCATGAGTCTAGAGTTCTCAGTTGTAACAAAAAAAGGGGAGTGATTGATTTTGCAGTTCAGGAGCGGAGGTCTGTGGGGCCATCAAGTGAGAAGAGCGGAGTGTGGTACCCTACCCAGTGAAGCAGTAATGCCAGAAATTGAGGCAGAGACGATGAAATGGACAGATGGAGTGGCTGGGGACACTGGATTCAGGGAGAAAGAAGGGCTGCGTGCTGACATCCAGGGGGCAGGCCTGTGGGGTGTACCCTTTGGTTGTTTGATGATGCATGGAGGGGATTGTAACCATTGCAATGAAACCAAATATGATAGGATGAATGTAAAACTGATGTTCTCCTATCTAGAACCATATATTTCACAATAAAAGCTTAAAAAAAGAAAGAAATGGTTGCTGTTCAACCATTTCAAAAGATAGTCTATGGCCAAGAGTCAATGGTACTGGAGAAAGCAGCCCAATGTGCATTGAAGGCATTGGCAACATACTAGGCTCCAAGAATTGATGGAATACAAATTGAAATCTGTTAACAAACTGATGCAGCACTGGAGGCACTCACTCATTTATGCCAAAAACTTTGGAAGGCAGCTACCTGGCCTACTAATTGGAAGAGATTCATATTTGTGCCCATGCCAAAGAGAGGTGACCCAACAGAAAGTGGAAATCATCTAACAATATCATTAATATCACATACAATTTACACACAAGTAAACATTTTTGTGGGGGGAGTGGAGCAGAGACCATTTTATTCTGTAGTTGGGGCGGCCCCAGCTGCTGGGGATCTCGAGGGGGTCTGGGAGTGGGCAGAACAGTGGTCCGTGGACAGTTAGGCCTCCACAGCCTGGCCATTGATGCGGATGTGGCGGATAATGTCCTGGATGGCCTCAGATGTGGTGCCCTGGCCCCCGATGTCTGGAGTATGCATGTTTTCATTGTCCATGGACGCCAAGACTGCCTTGCGGATGGAGGTGGCATAGGAGTGGAGCTTGAGGTGGTCTAGCATCATGCAGCTTGCCAACAGTGTTGCTGTCGGATTGGCGATGTTTTTATTGGCGATACTCTTGCCTGTGTTCCTGGTAGCCGTCTCGAACACCGCGTACACGTGGCCGTAGTTGGCCCCAGCCACCAGGCCTGGGCCCCCAACTAGCCCAGCACAGACGTTGCTGACAATGTTGCCATAAAGGTTTGGCATCACCATGACGTCAAACTGCTGGGGCCGGGACACCAACTGCATGGTGGTATTGTCCACGATCATGTTCTCAAAGGTGATCTGGGGGTAGCGGGCAGCCACCTCCCGGCAGCACTGGAGGAAGAGTCCGTCACCCAGCTTCATGATGTTGGCCTTGTGCACAGCGGTCACTTTTTTGCGGCCGTTCTCGTGGGCCAGCTTGAAGGCGTAGTCAGCGATGCGCAGGGACTTGGCCTTGGTGATGATCTTCAGACTCTCCACCACTCCAGCCACACTCTCATGCTCCAGACTGCTGTATTCGCCCTCGGTGTTCTCCCGGACAATGAGGATGTCGATGTCCTTGTGCCGGGTCACCACCCCTGGCAGACTCTTACAGTGGATGACGTTAGCATACAGATCCAGGCTGGTGCGAAGGATGTTGTTTCGGGATTTATGAGATGGTGGCAGGTTGTGGTTAGTTTCGATGTTGCCCTTCAGGGCCACGCGGTTCCGTCGGATAGCCATGATGGCATTACGGATGTCCTCCTCGTCAGCAGTGGAGCTCACGTGCACCTCTTCAAAGTCGACCGGCACACACGCATGTCTGAACACAGACTTGACATGTAGCATGAGCTCTGGCCCGATGCCATCCCCAGGGATCATTGTCACCATGTGCCGCCCGCCATACTTCGCCGACGGAGGAATTGTTGGTTGCGAGGATACGCTCCTCCGTGGGTTCTCACAGGTACCGAGAACCTCCCAAGGACGGCAGAGGATGCCCT